ATGTGTATCAATATGTATATGTGTGTCGCGCCTTTGTGTATGTGTGTGAGTGTGTGTACTAGCCTTCGTGTGCGCATGTGTGTGTATTTACGTCGCATCGATCTCAGATTTCGAAAATCCTCAGATGTCAATGCGGATAAGGAATTTTGCTAAATTGCGGATGAGAATAAATACGCATAGAAGAAAATCATGGAGATTTGAGGATTTTGATATACGCATAATTACACACTCAAAAAATTGGCAGTCTTCATTAACCTATTTTTTTATAATTATATCTAATGGTCCTTGTATGCTAAATATGCCATGTGCGGCTTATATATTCAGTTGTGTGTATGGTATATAAATAGTTTAGTTGATAAACCTTAGAATTAAAATTTCAAGCGAGGATGTGTGTATTTGTGTGTGTGTGTGTTTGTGTGTTTGTTTGTGTGTGTGTGTGTGTGTTTGTGTGTGTGCGTATGTTTGTGTGTGTGTGTTTAAATATCCGCGTGTACCTGCATTCTGTTTGTTCATATTGTATGTGCATTCACGTTTATATACACATGTACTTATTTACTTCTCAACACGTATATATATAAACATCAATAAGAACGTAAACACACCCACAACAACACACAAATAAACACTCAAGTTATCCACCAACCGACATGTTACAACCGAACCGAACACATCACCACACTCACCTCTGTACGTGTTTTCTCGACACCACCGAACACACTACTGTTCCCAAAAGGGTGTACCGGTTGGTCCCGCCCTGTTCGTTGGCCCAGCGTGCTACACCGTACGTGCTACACCCTCCTCAGCCTACACCCTTCATCCTACACCCTTCACTCTGTGTGGAATTCATGTTGAACAGATTGCAACAGGAACAACGAAGGGAAGGGCAAGAAAACACTCGAATTCGTGTGTTTTCTTGCCCTTCCCTTCGTTGTTCCTGTTGCAACCGTTCACTCTATATATTTCACCTTACATTCTTCACTCTACTCTCTTCACTCTAGGCCTAAGGTACTTAAAAGGTTTTAAATTCTTTGCTTAATTTCTTAATTTCTTTGATTAATTTCCTTGTTATACCCTTCATTCTTCTCTCTACTCGCTTCAGTCTTCACCCCTTCGCTCTATATCATTCTTCCTCCTCCCTTCATGCTATACACTTCCCTTTTCACACCTTCACTCTACACCCTGCAGGCTTTTCCCTTATCTCTTCTTCCTACTTCCTTCACCCTACACGTTTCACCCTTCTTCTTTCACTCTACACCCTTCAACACTTTCCCTTCCTTCACCCTTCTTCCTTCTTCCTTCCCTTTACACCTTTCTCCCTTCTTCCTTCTTCTTCTTCCTCCTTCCTTCACTCTACACCCTTCACCCTCCTTCCTTCTTTCTTCACTTTACACCCTTCTTCCTTCTTCCTTCACTCTACATCCTTCACCCTTCTCCCTTCTTCCTTCTCCCTTCTTCCTTAACCCTTCACCCTTCTCCCATCTCCCAGATAATAGGGATCGTTACGATAATGATGAAAATGATGAAAATAATCATGATAGAAGAATGATGATGATGATAATGGTGATGATGATAATAATAATGATAACAGTAACAAGGGTGCTGCTAATGAGCATGATTATACTGGTGATATCGATAGCATTAATCATAATAATGGTTGTAATCATGAGGATAAGAATAATGGTTATCATCGTTATTAGCTACGCCAGGGAGGTTGTGGGTTTGGTAGCGTTGGTTATTTAGTTTGTTTGTTTGTTTGTTTGTTTTGTCTGCTTGTTGGTTAGCAGGATAACTCATAAAGTTATGAATAGATTTGTTCTAAGATTTTTTTTTTTTTTTATCCAGGTGCGTTTTAGCCTAATTTAGATGTTATTAAATTTTTGGTGGCGCTTCGGGTATTATTTTTTCCTTTGTTAGCGGGATAATTCAAAAAGTTATGAACAGAATTTAATGAAACTTTTACTAGGGGTTTGTCTTAGCATAACAGATGTTATTATTATTATTATGTTATGAATTTTGGTGGCGATCTGGATGTTATTTGTTTGTCTGTTAGCGGGAAAACTCAAAAAGTTATGAACAGAATTTTATAAAAATTATACCAGGTGTGAGTCTTAGCCTAATTTAGATATTATTAAATATTGGTATTATTATTTGTTCGTCTGTTAGCAGGATAATTAAAAAAATTATAAACAGAGTTTTATGAATCTCTTAGCCTAACTTAGACCTGAATCTAGGATATTTTTTTAACGGTTGTATCCTTATACAAACAAGCACAAAAGCACAGGCACATATGGACACACACACACAGCACACACAGACACACACACACATTCACTTACACACACACACAGACATTCACTTACACACACACACAGACACACACACACATTCACTTCACACACACACATTCACACACACACACACACACACACACACCACACACACACACACACACACACACATTCACTTACACACCACACACAGACACACACACACATTCACT